CTGGTTTTTGTTGATAGTTATTACATTTATGATGACCATTTTTTACTTTAAAACAAGAAAAGAAAACTACTTACACTCAATAGCAAGCTGAATTTCTCAATAGTTATTTCCATTTCAACAATGTACAGCAACACCATGGTGAAACATTCCTGTTTGTACATCTGTATTCATTAAACGCTCTTCACCCTTACTTCCTCTATTAGATTTCAAGTTCCTAGAGGGCAGGAACCATTTCTCATCTTTAATATGTACTAAAGCCACTGTGCTCCATGCACTGGAAATGCTCAATAAATACTTGTTGCCTTGACTCGTTTAGGATTAAAACAGTCGATCTTCTAGGACTTCAGAAGTTAGCATGCCCTGTTGTAAAAAATGAACTCACATGCCCCCACTGCCCCATATATGTGTACTTTTCTTCATCTAGTTGTTGCTACCTATATTGTTGCTCCTTTAAAAAAGTATACATTTAAATATAAATATAATATATAAATATATAAAGAAAAGTAAACGTGTATACGTATATGTATACACGCATATACGTACACACATATATGTGTATGTTTACTTTTCTTCATCTAGCTATTGCTACCTATACTTTTGCCCTCTTAAAATGTGTACACATATATAATTTTAGTATAGTATTTTGTTTTTCCAAATTACATGCAAAGATAATTTTTAACATTCACTTTGAAACAATTTTGAGCTCCAAATTTTTTTCCCTCCTTACTTACTTCCTGCCCCCCTCCCTAAGTTGGTAGGCAATTTGGTATAGGTTATATATGTGCAATCATGTAAAACATATTTCCATATTAGTCATATTGTAAAAGAAGATGTAGACCAAAAGAAAAAACACATGAAAAAAATTAAGTGAAAAATAGTATGCTTCGATGTGCATTCAGACTTTATCTGTTCCCTCTCTGGATGTGGATAGCATTTTTCATCATGAGTCCTTTGGAATTGTCTTGGATTATTGGATCCCTCCCTCCTTCTCTCCCTTCCTGCCTTCCTTCCTCCCTTTTTCCTTTCCTTCCTTCCTTTTTTCCTTTCCTTCCTTCCTTCTTCCTTTTCCTTTCCTTCCTTCCTTCCTTCCTTCCTTCCTTCCTCCTTCCTTCCTTCCTTCCTTCCTTCCTTCCTTCCTTCCTTCCTTCCTTCCTTCCTTCTTTCCTCCCACTTAACCAATCTCCTAAATGTTTTTAAAAGGCAGAGGATTGGGGTTTGGTATGATTTTCTTCCTCATAGCCAAATCTCCATGCCTAAACTACATCTGAGTAGCTGAACCTGGGAATTACTTCCTGTTAACTCTGAATGTACTTTATATTTACTTATCTGTGTTTACGTTGTTTAACCCAATAGAATGTAAAGTTCTTGAGAAAAGGGATTGCTTTGTTTTTGTCTCTGTTTAGGAGTGCCTAGCATACATCTGACATCATAAAGGCACTTGGCCTTTATGCTTGATGAATGAATGAATGAATGAATGAATGAATGAATGAATGAATGAATGAATGAATGTATGTATGAGTGAATGAACAGCAATCGGGGCTTGAAACAGCTAGCTCTCCTTTCCAAGTTCTAGCTGAAAGCTCTGTCTCTATGGATTCTACTTACGCATTCCACTTGGGGAGAAACCAAATTTTTTAAACTTCTCCTAATATGGATATCAGTTTCTTTTCAGAGAAACTGGACTACCTTGTGAGATACTTCTGGGCAAAGGTATTTTCCAAGCCAGCTTGGGAATGCATAGTGAGGGGCAAGACCCTAGAGAAGCAGGTAAAGGAGACAGCAAATTAGGAGCATACATGTAGATCACGTCACTCTTCTGCTCAAGAACCGTTCATGGCTCTCACAGGCTGTGCCTACATTAAATTCACACTCCACAGTTTGGAATTCAAAGTCTTCCTTAATCTGATGGCCACGCTATCTTTTCAATCTTGGAAAAGCATCCTTAGTATGCAATCAAGTGTTTGCCCCTGGATCTTACACTTTATAAGTCAATCCCTGTCCTCATTGCCCTGTATATTATTCTCTTCCTTTTGAAAAGATAACTAGTGCAAGAGTCATCAGGGTTATCAGAGGTCATCTAATTCAAGTCCTTCATTTGGCAGATGAGGAAACAACCTCAATGAGGTGAAGTAACTTACCCAACTTTCATACTTCAAAGAGGTTTTCTTTTTAGAAAAGATCTATAAGCAGAAGCATGCTGGAGGCAGCTCATACTGGCTCATGAGAGCTGATGGTGAAATTTCAGTGTGAGTATTTATATTCCAGAAATGGGCAAATGCTATAAAAATCAGAGTGTGAATTATTACTAATTTGTTGATTGTGTAGACTTAAGAAAGGGATGGAGAAAATGTAAATAATGCATATTAAATGTAAAAGTGTGTCATGAGTACATTGGTTTTTGGAGAGCTCTTGTTAAACATTTGTCAGCGCTGCTTATATTAGTATACATCTCTAGATAGATTGATAGATAATAACAACACCAAAGATTATTTTTTTTAAAAACACTTTAAACAGGCTATATTATATTGAAGTAAAATGACTATACAGAATACTTACTAAGCATCAAAGTAACTTAATTAGCTACAATATTATAATATGTCATTAAAACAAAAACACAGGGAAAAACACCAAGGAGACTGCAAGCCACCAATTTCCCCCTTATAGTCCTGCTATTATAACAAGTGGGTAGCATCAGTGATTAGCCGAGTGTGTCCACTAAGGAGACATCTCTTATCTAGTAATTATAGCATAACACAATTTAGAGCAGAGAGAAACCTTAAAGCTCACTTAATCCAATCTTTTCATTTTAGGAATAAAGAAACTGAGGTTGAAGGGGCTCAATTACTTGTCCAAGGTCGCACAAAACAGTGTGTTGAAGTAAGATTTCAACTCATGTCTTTGGACTCCAAATTCAGTAATGTTTCCAGTAACCCATTAGAGGAAGGAATATTTGTAACTGAGTTTTAAAACTTTAAAAGTATATGCTTTTAGAAAATTTAAAAAAACCTATACTTTTATTAAATTGCAAAATTGACATAAACATTGATTCTGGGGAAATAACTTGTCCAAATTCTGACCTTAAAGACTCCTGGAAAGACATTTGTTTTTAAATAAAAGAGTAAAATCATTCATACTATTTTTCTGAGTCTCACACCTAGTTGAGTGTAACGGTCAGTTCTATTCTCCATGCCATTGCTACTCTGATCTTCTGAAGCACTGCCTTCCTTCCATTCCTACACAAGTGCTACAATGAGCATCTTGGATGTAGAGTTCATGGTACATCCAATTTTTGGATTCTTCTTCTTCAATACTTAGCATAGTGCTCTATACATAATTGGTGACTGATAAACAGTGTCTCATGTCTAAATTTGCACCATCTCATAAAGTTCCTCCAGGTCATATCTTCTGCCCTGACCAATAAATCTTGTCTTCTGAAGGTTTTAGTTAATAATTTCCCAGTCTGGAATATTTCTGAAGTATATTGTCAATTGTTATTATACTCTAAGTGAATATTCATCTTTAAAATCTCACAAAAATTAAAAGGGTGAGATTTGAAGTATAAATGCTGAACAAAATATAGTAAAATGAAGGTCATGGAATACTATTGTGCCATAATAAACAATGAAGAGGAGGGTTTCAGAGAAACATGGGAAGACCTTTATGAACTGATACACAGAGGAATGAGCAGAACCAGGAGGACATTTTACACAATAATAACATTGTAAAAACAAACAACTTTGAAAGACTAAAGAACTACAATCAATACAATTACCAGCCATAGTTCCAAAGCTTTGATGATGAAGAATGCCATCTCCACCTCTTGAGGGACAGGAGATGGACTAATATGCAGAATAGACACATTTTTGGAACCTGGCCAAAGCAGGAATTTGTTTTGCTTGTCTATGGGTGCTTATTACTGGGGTTTGGTTTGGTTTTCTAGTTGGATGGGGGAAGCTTGGAGGGGAAAGAAAATAAATGCTTCTTAAAAAATCTAATTAAAAAAGAATTATGTGAAATCCCTACTGATAGCGCGAACCTATCATTTTTGTAGTGGAGAAATCAGATTATAAAGATCAATGAGGGCAGCCTTGAAGGGAAAAAAGAACTTGCTCAAAAGGCAACATACATGGGCATCTAGGTGGCACAGTAGATAGAGCACTGGCTCATGAGTCAGGAGGACCAGAGTTCAAATCTGGCCTCTGACACTTATTAGCTGTGTGACCTTGGGCAAGTCACTTAACCCCAATTGCATCCAAAAAGAAAAGGCAACATACAGCACAAAGAGAGTGTGTATTGAAATAGAGACAGTCATATTCAAGCTACCTTTGTGGTTATGACTGGATGTGGAAGTTTTAAAGGCTAATGGTATCCAAGGGGTGAATTCAGTCATGTGACTAATTTCTTGAAGACACATAATTATATTTTTTATATATTTATTTCTATAATATAATATATTATATAAAATATATATAATATAAAATATATGTTATATATAATATTATATTATATGGTATAATTTATAATATTTTTATATAATATATAACAAATATAATATTTATATTTCTATAAAGTTATAGTCATATCAGTTTAGAGAAGATGTGAAATTGGAATCCCGGAAGGACAAATTCAGTTGTGGAGGAAGATGTAAAAGACTGTCCATCTTAATTGGGTATAGTTATGCTGGGCAAATCCTAGGAGGATGGGGAAGGGGTACAGCTGGTAGGGCAGGACCTTGCAATGGGAAGCGAATCCTGAGAGACGGACAAGACCCTTTGGAAGCCATGAGGAAGGGAGGAAGCACCCCTTCCTTAATGAGAGCCCCCTATGGCCTCACTCATGCTATTGTTCTGCTTTGTCATCCATGGCCTTTCCTCATTAATAGTGATATTATTACCTCCTCCTCCTTTGCTAGCTTCCTCCTTGCTACTGCATGGCCCCCCTAGCATAGGGAACAGGGTCTGGGGATGGCTCTGGATACTGACTCTCCAGATCTTACTCACCATTCTCCTCATAGAGAAGACCCATATGGGAGTAGGCTTCCGCTTCCTTTCTCCCACCATCGGCCTTGATCAGTTGAGCAATATTAAAGCATCGTTCATAAAAGTAATTCCTCAACCACTTGTCATCCGGGTTGTTAAAGTAACAGGCCAAAGAAAATATGTTATTGTACATTTCTTCGTAGCGAGCTGAAAATGGACAAAAAAAAACCAAATAAATAAACTCCATAATTAATATATAATAACAACTTAATAATTTGTTAAAATATGTTTAACAGCTAATTTTATACTCCCTTCAAAGGACAAACCTAAATAGTGACTTTTAGTTCTTGTTTTTAAAAAAGGTTTTGAAAATTGCCAAACAGGAATGAATCGATGTGAGGTAGCACGGCGCATTAGGTAGAAGGCTGGCCTCAGAATATAGAAGACCTGGGCTCAAGTCCTGCTTCTCATACAAACTAGCACTGTGACTCTGGGCAAGTCATTTAACCTCTCTATGCCCAGAGCAACTAGATGGTGCCATGGATAGAGCCCCGGGCCTGGAGACAGGAAGGCTCATCTTCCTGCGTTCAAATCTGGCCTTGGACAATTACTAGCTGTGGGATAGTGGGCAAGTCACTTCACCCTGTTTGCCTCAGTCTCCTCATCTATCAAATGAACTGGAGAAGGAAATGGCAAACCATTCCAGTATCTTTGCCAAGAAAATCCCAAATGGGGTCACAAAGACACAATTGAAACAATAATAAAGGGGCAGCTAGGTGGTGCAGTGTATAGAGTACCACCCCTGGAGTCAGTAGGACACAAGTTCAAATCCAGCCTCAGACACTTGACACTTACTAACTGTGTGACCCTGGGCAAGTCACTTAACCCCACTGCCTAGCCAAAAAAAAAAGTTAAAAAAAAGAAACGATAATAAAACACATGCCCAGAGCAATTAACTGTCTAAAACTAAAAGTTATACACAGGATACTGATCTGCATTTATAGAGGGAATTTTCACACTGGGAGTTAATTATACAAATTAAATTACAATCCCCCCAAATATAAATAGACATTTCTGGGCATACGAAAAATATCTAGTATTTATAAAGTGTCCCAGTAGTCTTTAAGCTAATGCTGAAAACTCCAATAAGACTTTTGGGACACCCTGTGTAAAATTTTAAGGTCTGCAAATTGCTTTATATATGTTATTTTGTTTTATTTTATCACTCTCATTTTATAGATGAGGAAACTGAGGCAGAGAGAAGTTAAGTGACTTGCCCAAGGTCACACAGCTAGTAAATGCTGGAAGCAGGATTTGAACTCAGGTCTTCCTGAGTTCAAATCCTGTACCAGCTACATTGGTGCCTATTAGATACAGCAGGAAACAAAGTAATTTAGATCATGAATTATAATTTCCATAACATGACTTAGCAGGTTTTATATAGTAAATGAATTTCTTTCAGTAGTAAATGTTAAAGGTACCAGATATTCTGGAAAGCAATTTGGAACTATGCCTTCCAAATTGGTAAATTATGAATACCCTTTGACCCAGTAATACCTAAAGATATCTAAGAAAGAAGAAAAGGAACCATGTGTACAAAAATATTTACGGGAAACAGAGGGGTGCTCATCTATTAGGGAGTGGCTGACTAAATTGTGGCGTATGCCATAAGAAATAACAAAATATATGGTTTAAAAAACTAGCAAGAATTGTATGAACTGATGCAGAGTAAAATGAGCAGAGCAAGGACAAAGACTGATACAATAACAACATTATAGACACAAATGACTTTGAAAGACTTGAAAACTCTGATCAATGCAAGGGTCAATCATTATTCCAGAGAATGAATGATGAAACACGCTGTCTATACATCCATCTCCTGACAGAGGTGATGGACTAATGATACAGGTCAAAACACACATTTTTGGACATGGCCACTGTAGGATTTTGTTTTTCTTGACTATGAATATTTGTTACAAGGTTTTTCATTTCCCTTATTCTTTTTCTCATTTGGGGAGAGACAAAGGTGGGAGGGAGAAAATGACTATTAATTGAAATTAAGAAAAACCTCTTTACTCCCCCCAAATTGTAAAGGTCAATAATGATGGAAATGAAATAACTTTACAGTGGACAACACAGAGGATGAATACCATGCTTAATACCAGTGGCTAATAAACACATTAAAGGATTCAAAAAAGAGCTAAGTCATTAGGGGAATACATTTTATCCAACAAGCTAAAACAAAACTGGTAGGAAAAATGACCTATTAAAAACCATAGGGCTAACATACAAGCACCGGGTAAGGCATAGAATGGGACACTGTCATCCAGTAACGCTTTCAGTCCCTTGGGAAGAAAGTAGCCTGAAATATTATCATTCGCCCCCCCCCGCTCCCTTTCTTCTGATCAAGGCCTGAAAAGTATTTATGTGCTTCAGAGAAAGCGACCATGACATGCAGATGATGCCTATGAAGAAAGTAGTAAGGAAATTGGAACACATAAGTCTTCTCTTCAAATTCTCTCCCTTTCCCCACCCCGACTCCCCCACCCTGGGGGAAAAACTTGCTTCTAAAAGCAAGAGGAAACAAAAGGATGGTTAGCTTGACCTAAGAAAACAATATATTCAACATTTCCAGCTATCAGCGACATGGCTTTTTTAATTGGATTTTTTCAATTAACAAGCATTTATTTTCCTTCTCCCCCAATGCCTCCCATTGGAAAAGAAATAAAGCTCTTCTAAAAAATATACATATTCAAGCAAAACAAATTCCCACATTGGTCATGTCCAAAAATGTTATGCCTCATTCTCTATCTTAAATCCAAAAGATGTTTTTCTTTTTTTTTCAAATATATTACTTCTTTTTTTTTTTCTCATTTGGAAAATCTGTGCCTTCTTGCCCCATAGAAGGTATTGCTGACTCTGAAATATCATTCCCAATTTTGTCCTTTAAGGTGAGTGTCAGAGCTCGCATCTCTAAAGGTGAGTTTGAGCCTATGGATTGTGACCATGTGACACAGTCTTGTGTCACCATGATGGGGGTATAGAGGATATCACTGACAGAGAGTTGGAAGGGACCGCAGAGGCCATCTAGTCTACTGCCTCATTTTATAGATGAGAAAACTGAGGCACAGAGAGGGTGACAATCCTAAGGTCACACAGGGAGTGCAACAGAGCTATGTGGTTCAGTGGATGAGCATCAAGCCTGGAGTCAATAAAACCTGAGTTCAAATTTGGTCGCAGACATTTACTAGCTGTGTGACCCTGTTTGGCTCAGTTTCCTCATCTATAAAATGATCTGGAAAAGGAGATGTCAAACCACTCCAGCATCTTTGCCAAGAAAACCCCAAATGGGGTCTCACAAAGAGTCGGACATGACTGACTGAATAACAATAAAATGTCATTTTATTCCATTCTTCTGTGTGTCCCCCAACTGTATATATGACAGCTATTGTAAGAGCATATTTGGATCTTGGATGACATTGCTGGAGACTTCGGATCATTGCCATAGCTTGTTAGAAGGAAGTTTCCAGCACACAGTTCTACATTAAAGATTCACTGGAATTTTTGGGGGGAGTCAGGGAAGGGCACTCAAAAAAGCTCATATTTATTCTTGAGGGCATAAATATGATTCTCACTAGGTCCCAATCAGAAGGGCCATTCCGCTGCTAATACCCTCTAGCTCTTGGATTTTCTTTGAAAGAAAGATGTAGAATGATGCCCTAAACCTGGCTGCAAGGTAATTTAAGAGCCTTGTGGAATGAGACAGTGCTAATCTCTCAACAAAGATAAAGTAATCTGACAGCTTTTGAATATTAAAGGGACTTGCAATCTTCATTATTAAATTGACCCAAGTCTCCATGGTTCCAAAGGAAATTTTGAAAACCAAAGTAATTATTCTGTTACATATAAGCAAAATGTTGAAGTTTCATGAGGAGATAAATTTTCATCTCAAATAGACACTTCAAAGTTTGAAAATAATCTCCTCCCACTCTTTCACCCCCAAAGCAATTTCCCATTTCAGCAATGACTGACAAGGAGGGCTACTGATATTTTGTAATCTCAGTTTATAAAGATAGATAAGTACCTTTCATTCCTTTAGCCCAAGTGAGTAGTGGGCACTGACTAGAGCATATTATTTGCAATTAATCCATTTATCTTAAAATCTATTGAGTCTTTCTCGTTTTTTTTTTTGTCTCATTTTCTATCTTTCTCTGTCTCTGTTTCTCTGTCATTCGGTTTCCATTCTCTTTCTCTTGTACTCTTTCTCCATCTCCTCTCTCTCCAGATTGACAAAATGCACAGAATGGGTATTTAATAAACACATGTTGACTGATTCACTGCTTATAACACATACCTGGAGGACATTAAATTTTAGGAGTGTCAAATTCATGGAATTGGTATGAGCAAAGGTCTTAAACAGAATGGACATTTAATAAATGTTTTTTTGAATTGAATATTCTAATTACATAATTGTTGTTATTGTTCAGTTGCTTCAGCTCTGTCCAACTCTTTGTGTCCCCATTTGGGGGCTTTCTTAGCAAAGATACTAAAGTAGTCTCTAGTTCATTTTACAAATGAGGAAACTGAGGCAAATGGGGTCAAGTGACTTGTCCGGGGTCATACATCTAGTGAGTGTCTGAAGCCAGATTTGAAATCAGGGAGATGAGCCCTTCTGTCTCCAGGCCTGGCACTCTATTCACTGCACCATTTAGCTATTCCAATTATATAATTATGGAATCCTAAAGCAAAATCCTAACAAGCCAGAAAACAGCCATAATAACATAGATGGTCACAATGATATTATTCTCTTGTCTTGTTATTATTCTCTATATTCTTGTCTTATATTATTCTCTATGTCTTAGAGAAAATAGTTATGATAGGAGTTTCATACATTCCACAGACAGAGGAATCCTCCTCCTCTTCTTCCTCCTCCTCATCTCTTTTGATTTCATATGTATAAAGCTTTTCCTGTGAGGAAACTCCTACTAATGCAGATTAATATATGCTCTGCAATTTATGTTCTTAGAGAGTGGCTTAACATACTGAAAAATTTAGTGACTTTGCCAGGGTCACACAGGCAGTATGCTATCAGAAAGCAGGACTTAAACCCAGGCCTTCCTGACTCTGAGGCTAGCTCTTCTGTCACTGTAACACGTGTTCTGCCTTGTGTGTGTATGTGTGTATATGTGTGTGTGTGTGTATGTGTGTGTGTGTGTATAATATATATACATATATTTAATATACCCACATGCATACATACATATATAGACAATATATACAATCAGTGAAAGTGTCAGGGGAAAAAAAAACCTATACTGCAAAATTTGTGATTCACAAAAGGCCTCTACTGAAAGCGAATCACAACTTTTCCTGGTTATGCTGACTATTTATAACTTGTAACTATCAGGTTTCAATATACAGGACTCTGGAGTTTTGCCTTGAAAATCTATGATGCAAAAATAAAAGCAGCCTACCAAAAAGAAATTCCATCAGGAAATAAACCCAACTGGGTCAAAATCAAAAGCTGGGTTATAGGTGAAGGAAAATGATGATTGAGCACATAATTGAGGTTTAGCCAAAACCATTAATATTTTGAAAGGTTCTAGTGAAGTCTCAAGGCACCCTCAAGTTTCCCCTCATTCCTAATGTCACCAGGACCCCTGATGGTACACTGACCACCTGGTAATAGAGAGTGCCCTCTCCTCTCCTCTCCTTTCCTCTTCTCTTCTCTCTTCTCTCCTTGGTTCTCTTCTCCTCCCTCTTCTCCCCCCTTCCTTTCCCTCCTCTCCCTCCCTCTCTCCCTTCTTTCTTCTCCCTCTCTGCCCCCCCCATCCTTCCCTTCTTCCCTCCCTCCCCCAACTCTATAAAGCCAGTTGACTGAGGTTGCAAGTTGCTTTAATGTTTCTGATCCCTCTATGAAATAATTCAGAATTTCCCCTCAGGCACTGGCTCGAAGCCACTCCTGCAGAGGCTCTAGGCTCCCTACCTGCGAGCTCAGCATCCTCAGCCTTGGTCAGGAAGAAGTACAGTTGGTCCAGTTTTTCAGGCAGCTCCTCTAGGGGCGTCTGCATCCAGAAGATGGACCGAATCCCTCCAGCTTCCCTCAAAGCATGCCACTTCTTGATCAGGGCGAAGAGCTCACAGAAGGATTTATGATGGCCATGTTGTAGCATGTCTATACAAATGTTCTTCTTGTATGAATTCCGGTAGCTGGGGAATGAGAACGAGGATATTCAAGGGCTCATTTTAATTCTGCAGTTCTGCACAACATTGTTAGCCTTAAGTAATTAAAGGTTGAATTGTGCTACTTTGTGAGGTGGAGGCGGGAAGAGACTAGAAATGATCAAAAGATATGGAGACCTTGGCCTCTCACACGTGTAGTTTAAGGGAAACCATTTCATGTAAGGTGTCAGTAGCTCAGGCAACTCAGTAATTTCTGAGGTCAGAAGATCTACTTGATTAATACAAATCTCCCCAATTACTGTATATTGGGAAACATAATGCTTCAAAGTATTCCTAAAACATTGGTTATTTGGGTGGTTTTTAGTGCTCTTCAATTACATGGTGCAGTGGTTAGAGGGTCAGTCTCCGTGTCAGGAAAAGCAGGGTTCTGACACACACTAGCTATGTGATCTTGAATAAGTCCTTCATGTTGTCAGTATGCTACTAAGACTGTAAGTTGCTGCATCTTCCAATTTGCATTGGCAGAGGAAGGCTCCTGATCCAGACCGGACCCATGATTGGGCTTCTATAAGAATTGCTTCTGGCAGTCAAATCACAGGTTGTCCCCTCTTGCTCCAAAAAGAGCATATTTTTGAAGATCATATTATCTTAGAATCATGAGTTTAAAAATGGAATGGAACTTAGAACTTTTTTCTCTTCTTTATGATAATTCATGTCCCCAGTTTATGAAAATGTTGGCTGAAAGGGTACACACACACACACACACACACACACACACACACACATTTACATAATTTAATGACTCCTCTTATGAACTACTAGATGAACTACCTCCAAAAAGTGAGTAGAAGAAAAATTACACATTGGAGCTAAGTCAAACAATGCATGTCAGATATGTTAAAAAGCCCCACTGGCTGTGAGGAGTTTCAGTTTTTAAATGTAAGAAATATGAGAATTACAGAAACACTATTGCTGCATATTATTTTGCCAGGGTCCTTTTCCTGTTTTCACTTGGGATTAAAGTAATGATGTGACAGTTTCATAATTGAAATAATTTGAAAAACAAATTATACATTCAGAAAGATATTGTGATGAATTAGTATAAAATTATTCCACTAAAATTATATACACAATGCATAAAAGGATTCATTTATTATATAATTTTAAAAAGATAATATTATATAGTTGGATTTCAATTTCCCTCAAGTCATTATTTTTGAGAAGCAACTGAATATTTAGATTAACTGACATAATACTAGCCTTTGTTGTTACTCTTCTGTATCTTCCATTACGGACAATTCCCAAAATACTTTTACTAATTACATTTACTTTTTTGGTCTTCATCACTTACAGAATTACTAGCATTTATAATTAATTTTCAACTAAATAGGTATTCACAACTAGCGATAAGCAATGTGGAGCTCCAAAAGCCAAAATTTAATTTAATTAATCCATGGGAACTTTATGCACAATAAATGAGAGAAAAATCAGACCAGAAATCATTTGAACAATCCAGGCTTAAGCAATGAAGTTAATATACTGATATAATGTTACTATATTATAACTAATTATTGTTATATATTACAATAGAATATATACAATGACATTACTAATAATATACAGTAATAAATATTGTATGCTCTTAGTTTTATATTACAGTGTATTATGTGCATATTATAATGCCATAATATATCATTATATGTATATGTATATACAGTAATACATGATAGAAATATACTATGTTATACAATTGCTATATTATGATACAGTGACATATTGCTACATATTACTATAACATGTCATATATTATTGTATGCATTCTGCTAGTAATATATCATTATTATATAATTAATTATAATAGTATAATTAACATATCATATTAGTAACATATCACTACGTAATGTGTATTATACTTTGATATCAGATAATTCATCTTTACAAATATTTTATTAAATGTGTCAAAATTAACATAGTTACCTTTACTTCAACTCAATATCAAACCTATACTCTGGATATTAAAAACAAAGTAGCAATAGGAAAAAAAAACCCTGGAAGACTATAAACACCTATTCTAAAATCACATCATACACATTAGAATGTGAGATGTGAGGCAGCTGTTATTCTTATGTCCCACTTGTTACAATAGGGTTCCACTGTAATTATCAAAGTAGCAATAAATAAACACAGATGACTTTATAACCAGCAAATCAGCAAATACATAAATGTTACAAAACTCAATACTGGTAGTTCCAACAAATTAGATTTTAAAAGCATGTGTTGCCGGCAGAATTGCAACTGATAGAAACTTTTTGGAAAGGAAGGTAGTGATATGTAAGAGTCACAAACAGTAGTCATTTTCTTTTACCCGTTAATCTCATTATTAAGGATATATCCTAATTTGTTAAAAATGCATAATAGCATTATTTGTAAATATAAATGTATGGGAAAAAAACTAAATGGTCAACAGTTGGAAAATGACTGATAAAACTATGTGCATCATAAATAAAAATAAAATTAAAAAGAGGAATATAAAGAAATTACTTATTTGAAGTAAAGGAAAAAAACAGGACCCATTCCTACAATACAAAAAAGGATTATACTAAAATCTCACCTTCTACAAGAAGTTTTTCCCAATTGCTCTTAATTCTAGTACCATCTCTATGTTAATTATTTCTTACTCATTCTTGACATTGCTTGTTTGTACATATCTATTTGCTTGTTGTCTCCCCCTCCCCCATTAGATTGTAAGCTTCTTTAGGGCAGGATTTGTCTTTGCCTTTTTTTGCATGCCCAGCACTTAACACGTGTGTTGCCTGGTACGTAGTAGGTACTTGATAGATACTTATTGGCAGACTGACTATACCCAAATACATAAAAAGGAATAGGCAAATAGAATACAAAAGGGAGGCCAGGATAACTAATAAGTTGTTATAGATATATTCAATATAGAAATTATTTTTAAGTATAAATGGCTCCAAAGTAAATCATATGAGATAATATTTGTAAAACATTTAGGCACTTAGCACAGTGTCTAGCATCGAGTAGATATTATATAAAGGCTTATTCCCTTCCTCATTGTATCTTCAATGCATTATTTTAATAATAATAATACATTTTAATAACTCATTTAATAATAATGCATTATTTAAAAAAAACAAAAAGAACATAAACAGACTAGGCTGTCAAAAAACTTAACTTCTACTGAATCTGCCACAAATTAACCATTTACTTTGGGCAAGTCGTTTTATCTTTCTAAGTCTCAGCCTGTTCATCTGTAAAACAAGATTTTTAAGATCTTTCTGGCTAAGAGTTTATGAACCATTAATAATGCTTTTTTTTTTAATACTTGAAAATATTTCTCAGCAGAAAATTACATTCTAAGCAAAGCACACAGCATACATATATACATTTATACATACACACATATACACATATATACATGTGTGTTCTCTTGTGCTTCATGTACACCCATGTTAAAAAGCCACCCATGTTGATCTGTTCGCAAGAAAGAACAATTAGCAATTCACTAAGCAGGATCTTCTTATGGATCTATAGTTGAACCAAATCAGGCAACCATTTGTTTTCAATAAAGTGTTCCACCTTAGTTAAAGATATCAAAAGACTCTCAGTAAATAAAAAATGTGTTTTAATTTCTACAGGCACAATAGAGATTTATAGATATTACATTTCAGAGTAGTGATCCAGGTCCTATCAATATTATTACCTATTGGAATCTGTGATGTTGTTCAAATTTCTTAAGCTAACAAATAAATATCCTTAGTAACAAACACAGAGAAAACCTTAATTCATTTATTTGTTCATCATTCCTCTCTGTACATTAGTTTCCTTCATCTCCATTAAATAAATTAATTAAATTTAGTCTTTTATCTGTTTTTTTAAAGGATGTTTCATGTTTCAATATAAGGTATCAGAAGAAGGCTTCACTTATGCCCTTGCTCTTGGTGAAATGAAATGAAAATAACAATTTTAGTGAGTAATTGTTACAGAAATTGTGAAAGAAGTAAGAGTATATTAGATTTTTAGATTCAGATGATCTGGATTCAAATCCCACACTCTCCCACTTACTACCTGTGTGACCCAAGCCAAATTATTTCCCTTCTTTGGGCCTCAGTTTCCTCTTCTGCAAAATGATAGTGTTGGACAAGATGATTTCTCAGGTCCTACCTGCTCCAAATCCTGATACTTGCAGCCTATGAAAGACCTCCACATTTAATTTAAACTTACTTTGTACTATTAGTACAATGCTTTTTCATATTATTATAAACTTATTACATATCTCTTCTTTTGAAAGCAAAGCAAAACAAAACAAAACAAACAACTCAAACCTTTTTTAAAAAAGTGAGCCTTCCCTATGCAAGTAAAATTTGACAGAATTTGTAACTTCATGAAAAAGGTGAGAACACTGAGAATCTAGTCTCAAAAAGAAACATAGGGCCTACTCATCTATGCTACTGAAGATGCCTCAGGCTATATTGGGATAAGGATCCAGCATACTATATAAGAATTTAGGTGATTCAAGATTGCATAGACTTAAGTGGTCGAGTGCTATATCATCAAATTTATTTTGAGGTATTGTTCAGAAACTACTCTACACAAACATTTTGAACTTACATCACAGTGTCAGTCACCAAAGATATGGGAGAGCAAAGAAGCCTGAGGCTAACATGTAAAGCAAAGGTAGACCATTTGGTAGAATTTGAATTGGCCAGCAGTCAGATATTTGAGGCTCCTGGAAAACTTGGTAATTCATTGCTAGGAGGCCATGCAAACTATTAATCATTGGGTTTTTGGTCTTAACAACAACACAAATTTTTTAAATAAGCATCTTCCCTTCTTTGCACTGAATTGTAAAGATATTTTTGTTTAAAAAAAATTACAGAATAGGAACTAAATTTAAATGATCTTCCTAAACTTTAAAATGATGATGTTATAAATATATAAATTTTCTTCTTAAGATTCTTTAATTCATAATCATTGATTTTTATCTGTGTTGGACTCTACTTTTC